TTTTATGACCGTCTATTATCATTATAATTATCTATTATATAATTCTAACATTTTAAGCCTATCATCTTAATAATTATCTTAATAATGTATTTATATACAATCAAACTTAACTTTCCATAAATATTAAAATCAAACTTTCCATAATTAATATAATAACTGCACTACGCCACCAACCACACTTTCAAAATTTTTCAATACGATTTTATTTCATTTTATTTCACTAATTCTATACTATTTACTTAATTTTATTTAATTGTTTAAAATATGTTGGTTTTACCAAGGTAATTGCATTCACTCATATATTCCTGCATGCTTAAAAGTAATTTTCTCGTGATTTTATATGTTTTAATATTTCTAACTATTTGACTCAGGCTCTGACGATGGCACTAACCGAAACGGCCGTCAGCAAAAGCGTTGTTTTAAATAAAGTTGAATCTACCAATCTACGACGTGTTGAATTATTATTCAAAAAGTAATAACAACAAAATGTGGAATTATTTTTAATAAAACCTGCTTATCCAAAAACCTCGTTCCAAATATTATATATATATTAGGGTGTCCCAGAAATGCACGGAAATTTAGTGAAGAGAATAGTGTGGTCAACAGTATCAAAAGCCGAGAAAAAGTCAAGAGCAAGAAGAAGAGTAAGATTACTATTGTCATTAGAGAGAAGGATATCATTGTGTATTTTGAGTAAAGAAGTTTCAGTACTGTGAGCAGGTCTGAAACCAGATTGAGATACAGGTAGCAAGGAGTTAAAGTTTAAATAGGATGACAGTTGATTAAAAACTACTTTTTCTATTATTTTAGAGATGAAAGTAATATTAGTTACAGGTCTATAATTAGATAAAGAGGTAGGATCTAAGGATGAGTTTTTAAGAATAGGAATAACAATAGAATTCTTATAAAAAGTAGGAAATTAGGAGGTGAAAAGAGATAAATTAACTAATTTGAGTATGATTGGATAAAATATTGAAGAAAATTCTTTAAGTAAATTAGAAATTCTGACGTAATCTAACAATCGAACAAGATCGCGAGCAGCGACTGCTCCATCTCTCTCGAGAATTAAAAGTTTAAAGGAAGGTAGTTCAAGACTTGTCCAATCAACTAACTGAATTGTTGAATCAATGGGATCACTGTGATGTTGATTGCAGTGTCAAGACTGAACTAAACTTATGCCGGAAAGAATTTATAAATGCATATATGCAGTATGAATTCGAAAAATAAGTTTATTTTGAATTTTAATAAACTAAAAGTTTACCAAAAAACTTTAGTGAGAAAAATCGAAAAAAACGAACTACAAACATGCTAACGCCAAACATTCGGTAGAATTTATAAAATATTGTTAAAATTATGAGCTACTACCAACATTTACTCGAAGTTCTGCGACCAACTGACGTAATCTAACAATCGAACAAGACCGCGAGCAGCGACTGCTCCATCTGTCTCGAGAATTAGAAGTTAAAAGGAAGGTAGTTCAAGACTTGTCCAATCAACTAACTGAATTGTTGAATCAATGGGATCACTGTGATATTGATTGCAGTGTCAAGAATGAACTAAACTTATGCCGGAAAGAATTTATAAATGCATATATGCAGCATGAATTCGGAAAATAAGTTTATTTTGAATTTTAATAAACTAAACGTTCACCAAAAAACTTTAGTGAGAAAAATCGAAAAAACGAACATGTTAACGCCAAACATTTGGTAGAATTTATAGAATGTTGTAAAAATTATGGTCTACTACCAATATATATATATATATATATATATATATATATATATATATATATATATATATATTAGGGTGTCCCAAAAATGCACGGAAATTTTTTTTTTAAATAGTTGTTGTCTCACCCTCTGAAAAGTGTCTCTTGGGTACAATAATTAAATTGGTGAAGTTACAGTTCATTTGAACAAGTTTGAGAGGTCCCCCAAGGGCTTTTAAAATTTTACTATCGAGTTAATTCAAAATCCATATCAATAATCTTAAACAATATGCACAAAATGAGTGAAATAAAGCTAGAAATGCAAACTAGTTTAATACTCTCAATGCTGACATTAATTAGAGTTTAAAATATTATTAACAATTACCTGTAGAATGATAATCTTTATTAGAGAATGCAAAAAATGTATATTTTTAACCAGTCAACTCGCTATGTTACTGGTGTGGTCAACGTAGATTGGTTACCTGTCCTGCTCTCATCACTTGTTGATGGCACTACAAAACTTCTTGGAGTTCCAAAGTTAGCATCTGGATTAGGACGAGCAGCTGCTGATGCAGTTCATGAACATATAAAATCTTGAAAGTGTGAATCAATGGTTATTGGCATGTGCTTTGACACGACAGCTTCCAATACTGGAAAACTCAATGGAGCTTGCACTCTTCTAGAAAAAGCCATGGGACGTAATTTATTATGGATAGCTTGCCGTCATCATAAGTTTGAAGTGCTGCTTGCCGATGTATATAGTGTTTGTCTTGGACCATCCGCTGGACCAGAAATTTTATTCTTCAAAATGTTTCGTTAAAAATGGACAGAAATGAATCACACACTAGAAGCCAGATCAATCCCATTGATAATTGTTTCAGATGCAATTAAAGCATTCATCAAATGTCAACTTGTGGTCAGACATACACGAGATGACTATTTAGAATTTCTACTTCTTGCTGCACAAATAGCTTGACTGCAGGTTTATGTAGCCATTCGCAAACCTGGTGCACTGTACACGGCACGATTGGTGGCAAAAGCCATCTACGCATTAAAAATTGAACTATTATTCACCGTAAATACAACCATTTTTAACTTAACAGCTCGAGAATAACAACGTATTCAACGTTTGAATCGGTTTATCTTCAGTCATGGTTTTCATGCTGGCTCACTGCTGATGCACCTGTGAATGATATTTTGTCGATACAGCGTTTGCATGACTAAGACGATGCAGTTCTTGGTTTGACTGGATTAAAAATGATGCTGCGTCATTCTTGGTACATGAGTCCAGAATTGGCAACTCTTGCTCTTTTTTCATCTCTCCTGTCTAACAAAGAAAAGACTGATCTTGTCCGCACAATACAAGCAGACCGAGGCCCACATCTGATGAAAACACTACCACAAAGTTTTGACAATTTGCGTGCGTTTAAAACATTTTTTGAAACATCCAATATTGATGCCAGTTTTCTTGATGTACTTGTTGAAAACTGGTCAGATACTCCTCTTTCCAAGTTGCAGCAATGTTTGTAAGGAATCTGGTTTTCATCAATGACTCTGCAGAACGTGGAGTAGCGTTGGTACAACATTTCAATGAAACAATCACCAAAGACGCAGAGCAGAAACAATTTTTGCTTCAAGTAGTTGAACAGCATAGGAAAAACTTTGCAGAATATAATCGTGAACTGCTAGCAAAAATTTGAATTATTTGCATTAATTAATATTCAAGCGAACTGAAATTCAATAAAATCTTGTTTTTCAATCATTTTTGACCTAATTTTTGAAATTAAAAATTAAAAGGCATTGCAGATTTATATATTTTTTCACAATTATATATTTTGTTTCATTTGTATAAACAAATCATAAAACATTTATAATCATATCATATAACACTGTATCAAAAGTTGGTAGCGAACGATCAAACACCAAAATTGGAAACTTTCGACCCCTTGGGGGACCTCTAAACATTGTCCAAATGGGCTAAAATTTGGCAGGTTAATTACTGTTACCATACAGACATATTTAATGGGGTGAGACATCAATATTTTAAAACTTCATATTTTTGGGACACCCTAATATATATATATATATCAATCAATCAATCTTCGTTTTGCGTCTAGAGACCCGGTTCCCCGAAGTAGGACGTTGTTTTCTTTGCCATCAACTTTTTGCGCCAAATTAGACGGTCAGTTGTATCCATTTCATTTAAATTTAGAGCTTTCATGTCTTGCTCGATTGTTTGCGACCAGGACTTCTTTGGACGGCCTTTGGGACGTGTGCCAGGTACTTCAACATCTGCAAGAAAAGTTATAGCACTGTTTCCACTTCGTTTGACATGACCAAACCACCGCAGACGGAGATGCCATTTATTCCAGGCTGCACGTATGCGTGCTCGAACGGCAGCTTCAGCTGTTCTAGTACAATCCAGAACATCCCCTAGATATTGAAACGATGTGACTTTCTCTACCTTAATGGCTTAAATGCCTATACCTTATATACCTATACCTTATATACATATACCTATATATATATATATATATATATATATAGGCGGTACCTGGTATGTTGCAGCATAGTATGGTTGTGATGGATGTAGCATCAAAAGAAATGGGGAGGAGGAAGAAGGATAAGTTTGTGGCAAAGAGAAAGACATGGAAGTTACAGGATGCAGAGGTGAGGAAGGCATTTGAAGTGAAAGTGGCTGAAAGTTAGGAGAGTGGTAAGGATGGAGATGTTTGGGAGAGATATAGGGACTGAGTGTTGACTACGGCAGATAAAGTATGTGGATGGACGAAAGGAAAATGTAGGCATGGAGAGACGTGGTGGTGGGATGAAGATATAAGAAAGGTTTGGAGGTCAAGAAGGAGAT